TTCGTTCTGGAACAACTGCCATCCTATCCTGTGTTGGACAATGTCATGAGTAAAATTGCCCTAAAAGGCAGTATTCCACCAAAAGCGTAGTCGCCGCCACGTGCAAATGAAGTATGCGGCCACGCCCTCCCCATCCATGGGATAAGCACAGGGTTTATTCTAAGGGCTACAGTCATTATGAACATACTAAGTGCACAGTGAAAAGAGCACAAGATCAGCATTTTATTAGAATGCGCATAGTTTTTTTTCGTCTACCTTTGTTAGGTTTTTGACTCGCGGAAGAAGGGTAGGGCTTTAGCCATGCCAAGCAGTATAGCCATAGTTTTGAACATGCAACTTCAGCTCATTCATGCGCCTTGTGCCACCAAAATACGGAGCTGTTAATAGTGGATAAGGATACGTATGAGGACACGTACACAAAGCTGGTACAGTTGGTAGATCGCGCAGAACAACTTGAGAAGGAGCAAAAGTAAGTTGCTACTGCTCCATGCTGTTCCGAGTTCTTTCTAACTTATGAGAATATTTCAAGAGAATTTGCTATGATCATCGACGGAAAATCGCTTGTTCATGCATTGGTTGGGGACTGTCGAAAGCATTTCGGCGAACTGGCACTCAGATGTCATGCGGTTGTGTGTTGTCGAATGAGCCCCATGCAGAAGGCTGAGGTATGTTAAAGTTCTTACTCTACTGCTGTGTTACCTAGTAGAATTTGCGTAGGCAGGAGCAGGAGTCGTGAGTCATGCGTTTGTTCAATCACAAGCTATCCCTGCAATGCGAGAGGCGAAGTGGGTCTGCAGCTGCAGTAGCAAGACATTTTTCCTGCTCAAAAGTGCACGGGAAGAGGGCTGTAGAGTAGTGATACCCCGGCGACGTCTTCACACTCCGCACTTACCCTCAATCTGCAGTACTTGGGTCGATGCCAAGATTCCGCTACGAAACGCGTGCTCAGCGGGTGAGATGAACCGGGAGCGGAGTGGCGAGGGCGCGGAGGGTTAGGCGCGTGCTGGCGATAGGGAGCACGGCGGAGCACGAAGACCGCACCAAGCTGCCACTACCCTTCACTCCCACTTCCGCGCACTTTTCGTTGAGAAAGAGGCACATTCCTACAGCTGCGGCTTCGTTCACCCCGCTTATGACAGGGATCATTATCCTCAGGAGTGGGCCTAAACGGATTTTCATTTGCATTCAAATACAGTACTGGCGAATGTCAAAGAAGCCCTCTATGATGAAACTTATACTAAAAATCGAGATTTATATCGCTTTTTTCATATCTGCTCTCAAAGTTTGACCAGTGTACCGCGTCGAAACCTTATGAGGCTTTCACACTCGCTGCATTATCAAGGCCTAGGCTAGTCAGAGGCTGTCGCGCTCGCCGCAAGCGTTCGCAATGGATGTCACGCTCGCGTTAATGGTAGGGTAGCCCAATGAACATAAATTTTTTAGCCAAATTTAATAATTTTTACCTCGATTTGAAGCATAGCGAGTAGTTGAGTAGTCACGGAACTCATTCCGCTCATCTTTAAGGTTGTGGAGATGGTACGCGGCCTTGGAAATCATGTTGTAATGGCTGTTGGTGATGGTGCCAACGACGTTGCAATGATTCAGGTAAACCAGTGGCCCATAACCACCCAGAATATTTTCTTTATCTACTGTATTCAGGCTGCCAACGTTGGTATTGGAATATCTGGAGAAGAGGGATTGCAAGCCGCATCAGCTTCTGATTATGCTATTCCAAGGTTCCACTTCCTGAGGCGATTACTCCTAGTGAGTGACTTTTACTTTTATACAACAATCTTTTTTTTCTCATTTTCATCTCTGGCTATTAAGGTCCATGGCGCTTGGAATCACGATCGATCCGTTAAAGTTATACTCTACAGTTTTTACAAGAACATTTGCCTCTACATTATTGAGCTGTGGTGAGTTTTAACGAGCTTGCAACTGCGTTGGTCTCACTGTAATTTTCTTCCTGACAGTGGGTGATATCCATGGGTTCATAGCTGGCAAAACTGAGGAATATTGGAGTTTAAGCTGTAGATCAGTCTACTGAGATGTAGCTTCTCAGTTTCTACCAGCAGTCAGAGAGCTTTATGGGCAGATTTCAGTACTCTATTCTTCTGATCATTAGGGTGTCTACAAAACGTACTCCATAGTCACTTTTGTTGCAACAGGGTAAATATGGACCTATACATAACTACCCATTCAAAATTCAGGTTCGCGATTTTCTCTGCCTGGTCCGGTCAGACGATATTTGAGCGATGGACGATCGGACTGTTCAACGTTG